TCTCGACCCCGCGGGCTCAGGTCATCCACTCACCTCAGCCTCCCAAAGGCGCGGGATTACAGGCTGAGCCACCGAGCCCGGCTTAATATATTATTATTAAAGTCCATGTTGTACTGAGGTTTCCATCATGTTTACCTAATGTCCCTTTTCTGTTGAGGAGCTCATCTAGGATACCATATTACATTTAGCTTTCGTGTTTCCTCAGGCACCTCTTGGCTGTGACAGTTTCTGATTTTCCTTATCCCTGAAAAAAATCAGTTCGATTCTTAAAAGCAAACAACCAACCAGGTCTGGGAAAGCTTAAAAAATTGGTGGATGAGATGAATACTGGAAGCGATGAGGATCAGAGATTGGAAATATAGTAATAGCTTTTGATGACCTTGACAGCTTTGAGGAGAACTGGTCAGGCATCCTTCAGTTGGGATTTGCCTGATGTTTATCTCATGCTTAGATGGGGAGTATGGATTTTGGGGAAGAAGACCACAGAGGTAAAGTGTTACACTGATCACATCCTATCAGAAGTACATATTATCAGCATGACATCACTTGATGCTGACCTTGATCACCTGCCTAAGGAAGTATTCATCAGAGGAATGATTTCGAATGATATAAAATAATTCCTCAATCCTCAATCCTAAAAATAAGAAGAAAGTCAACTTAGTTTTAGTGGAGCTTGATTAAAAGTCAGTCAAATAATATTTCATTGTATATTTATTTTACTTTAAAAAAAGTGCTCTTGAAAGCAAAAGCCATTCTAAATGGCCTTCTTTCAATTCTCAAATACTGAATTTCTACAGTTAATTAAAAGTAGAATGTAGGTCAGGTCACCACTCTTCTGGATGCCTTTCACTGCCTTTGAGGAAAGGCTGAGAAAGTGGAAGACATGTCGACTAGGAGGAGGCAGAAGGGGACACCCCAGACAGCACTCTGTGAACACTCCGATGCCCACCTGGCCGCCCCCTTGTTTGGACAACTGCATCTGCCCATTGGTCAAGGTGCGCATACCTGAACATTAGGAAGTTTGACCTAAAATGAATTATTCTGGAGAATTAAATCATAAACCTAGCTTAAAGAATCTCATTTGCCTATATCTTTTCAACTTTTAAAGTAGCCTATCCAATTTCTACCGTATTGAAACTGAAATCGCATCTTCAAATTAACCTGTCAAGGATTGTTTAATCCTTTGGTTGCTGCTGAGCCTCTCTACTGTTTTCTCTAAAATATTTTGGATTCTCCTGAGTACACTAAGTGTGGACCATGGAGTACTTGCTGTCAAGTGGACAGAGGGTGCTCCCCTCCCCCAGCTGTTCCATGTTTGCTTCACCTATGAGGGGACCTGGGGGCACGAGTGTAAACATTTGGGGTGATTCAACCAGGTAGGTGAACCACTAAAGCTAAAGTAAAAAAGAAATCCTCAATGGCCATCAAGAAATAATGTTTAAGTAAGTGAATTTACATCATTGTGAGGAACTCTCAAACACAGCAAACCCTTGTCACAGTGACGGGGGTCAGTGTAGGTGACCACAGTGCCACAGGACAGCAGCAGAGGGCTGGGCAGACCGTGCTTGTTTTTTCGACACCCTTGTAGATCAGGAGCCCTTTTTCTCCACCCAGAGTCCTTTTAGGAAAAGCCAACACCCCCAAGTTGTTGCAAAGCTTTTTCCACTCTCTCTTTGTTTCACATGAATCTTGTCTAAATTCTGTGTTTAAGAGTGATGATTATGAGTGAAATTTAGGTAGGTCAGACTGAGTCCCTGGGTCTGGAGCATCCAGTGCCAAGTGCATGCCTCCCCCAGTCATTGTGGGAGCCAGACAGCCGGAGTCCACCTCCTTGCTCTGCAGCGTTTTCTGTCTGTGAGACTGGGGCAGTTTTTTTCATCCTCATGCCACACTTTACTCTTGTCAAAATGAGAATAGCTTGGCGCAGTGGCTCATGCCTGTAATCCCAGCACTTTGGGAGGTTACGGTGAGAGGATTGCTTGAGCCCAAGTGTTTAAGGCCAGCCTGGGCAACGCAGTAAGACTCCATCTCTACAAAAAGTAAAAATAAAAATAAATTCGCTGGGCATGGTAGCATACACCTGTAGTCCCAGCTCCTTGTGAGGCTAAAACAGGAGGATCACTTGAGCTCCGGAGTTCAAGGCTGCAGTGAGCTATAATCACAACACTGCACTGTAGCCTGGGAGACAGTGAGACCCCGCCTCAAAAAAAAATTGTTTGTTTTTTTTTTTGAGTTGGAGTCTCACTCAGTCGCCCAGACTAGAGTGCAGTGGCCGCTCCCGGCCCCCGCAGCCTCGACCTGCTGGACTCCGGCGATCCTTCCGCCTCAGCCTTCCAAGTAGCCGGAAGTACAGGCATGTGTTACCACACCCTGCTGATTTTTTGATTTATTGTAGAAATGAGGTCTCGCTGCCCAGGCGGGTCTCGAACCCGCGGACTCAGGCAATCCACTCACCTCAGCCTCCCAAGGCACGGGATTACAGGCTGAGCCACCGAGCCCAGCAAAAATTGTTTTTTTAAATGAGAATAGTATGTGCTTCTCAGGGTATTCTGAGGATTAGCCCACGTAAATACATTTGAAATATTATAAGTAGAGCCACCAGTGCTTGGGACGTAAGAAAGACCAGATAAACATTAGCAGTTGTCACTGGTGTCCATTTCCTCATTTGCCAAAAATACAAGCTGGATCTCTGACTGTGATCGAGATGGAAACATGTGTCCACTCCATAGGTGTGAGCTGCTGCCCCTCTGCCCCATGGAATGAATCCTGGAGATGGTGCCTGCTGTGGGACTGGGAGAGGGTAGAGGCAGCCTGGCCTGGCTGTGGACAGCCCCCGGGTCAGTCCCCTCTGAGGCCCTGCTCTAGCCAATGGGCCTGCTAGGTTCTCTCAGTCGCCTCATCTCCCTTACGATAAAAACCTTTTTTCTCCCCTTAACAACAAGACAACGTGGGAAGCTTCTGACCATTTCACTCTCTTCCTAAGGGGCTAATGAGGCCTGATCACCTAACCCCAGGCACCACTGCTTTCCACAGGAGGACTCCCAGAGTTTTTGTTAGAATCTCATCTTGCTCTTCCTCTGCTCTGCAGACAGCACTGGGCGTGAGTGGTGCAGGGAAGTGGGGTGATGGGAAATGTCAGTATGCACATCGGTCTGCTCTCCTGCAATAACCTCGCACGGTGGTCCTCGGCTGAATTCGCTTGGTGCTCCCACTTGCATTTTAAGGTGAAAAACAGATGGGGAATGACGGAGTCCAATGAGTTTTTTTAAGCAATGATGATCAGACTTCACATGGTGGAGCGAGTGGAATTCTTCTATCGAAAAAATTTAAAAACTCAATCCTTGGGGTTTTGATATGAACCCGCATGTGAAATCAGGAACTGGGGAGCAGGGGCGTTTTATTAGTAGGTGTCTTAGAATGAAGGGACCTGAAAGTGGTGTATGTACTGCGGGGCCAGCCCCACAAGGGTCGTGAGATGTCCTGAAGGACAAAAGGGCCTCAGCTTCCTGGGCTCGACCTGCGGCCCGGGGTCTTCGGCCCACCCGGACCCTGTCAATCAGGTGGGCCTCCAAGGCTGACTCCCAACAATGTACCATGTATTAGCAGTAGGCTTAGAATGGTTTGGGGACAATGTGGTGACGTAGGAACATGCAGCGGGGCAGACTCTCTGGAAGGATGCTTTAGGTTTTGTTTCATAAATTACAAATACAGAGAAAGCGTTCCCATGCCCAGTAAAGTTTGACTTGGAAGATCCAAAACAATATCACAGACTTGTTCAAGGCCAAAGATTTTTCATTTCTAGATAATGTATTTTAAACCTATTCATAAAAGAACAAATCAGAGCGAGTGGAAGGTAACTATTTGACTGTATTTCCTAAGCTGTGTCAGTTTGAGGAAATGTCTCATATGTGTATTTGTATCCCACATAGGTATTTATACCAACAAATTTATTTTGCTTTTCACTTGTTGGATTTCACTTAGGCTTTAGTTTCAATTTTTAAAAAATGCAAACTATTTCCATACCCATTAATCTATGGCCCAGTTGGATTCAAAAGGAAATTTCAGAAGAGTGCATATATTCTTCCATACTGTGCCTGGACTCTGGGCCAAGCATAGTCAGTCTCCATGGACAGACTGTTTTCCTTTCCATTAAAAGATGGTCTCAGAATAGGACTATTTCCGTTAAAGTAGCAGTGGCGATTTAAATTGCATTTCTAAATATAACATGTTCAAGGCAGTTGACTTAAAAAACTCACATCTGAAACCCTATCAATTTAATCTTTACTTTTTACACCTAAGGTAGTTCATGAATTGCAAGGAATATTTTCCTCTTAGTTAATTTTTGTTGGTTTCTTGAATCTTATGAATTGTGCATTGATTTGTGAGATATAAATTCTTTGTAACTTTTGCCCTGAAAGTTGATGTTGTATCTTTTCTTTAATTTTTCTGTCTACTTAAGAATAAAAAGTATTTCTACTCCTCATTATAACAATATTTTGATAGCTAAGATGAAGTCTGCAAAGAATTTGGTACCCCTCAGGGAAAGTGCTGTATACGTAGTATAAATAACAAGATTTTAAAATTGAATTATTCTATTATGCTATGCTATGACACTTTATGCAATCTCTGCAGGTATAACTTGCACCTGTATTGTCTTGCTTTCTGCAATACTAGGAAATGAAAACCCACAATGCTTAATACTATTTCTTATTAACAGTGGAGCCCAAATGTAGAGCCAATAATGGTTTAAATTAGTTAAGCACTTGAAATGAACAAGATGAATGGAGGTTTCACTGTTGTTTCGGGAAAGCATCAGATTAGATCTAGATTTTCTCCAAGGATAGTAATTAAATTTTCAGGTAAATCTTGTTGCGATTGAGAGGCATAAGATTCTTTTTAATATTCTCATTCCGATTTGACGGAATAAGCAGCAGGCCTTTTTTCTTTTTTTTTTCCTGGAATTTTGTGTGTATGGGTTGTGGGAGGGGAGTGGGGAGAATGTGTTATAAGTTGTATAAGTTGTATGATACGGTGTAAAGTATTGACTGTGAGGCTTTTGCCATTTAATAAAAATAAAAGGTCCCATTCAGAAATTGTGTTTGTTTTCTAGGGACACAACCAAATCATAACATATAGCAGACCAACCTACTTTTGTGTGCTGTGTGGCCTTATTTTGCTTCTTGATACAGAGGCCAAAGCCAGGCACCCTCCCGGTTACGTTGTATATGGCCTGAAGCTCTTCTCTCCAGTGTCCCTGCAGTCAGCTAGGGACTACTTAATAGGTGAGTTAATTTGGGGTTTGTGGGGAAGAACACACGGGAGGGAGCACACGCCTTCCCTTTATCTTCTGAATGCCTAACTGGAGAAGCCTACTTGCTTGATTGCTGGAAGAAGAGATGTGCGTTTCCCTCTTGGTTTCCACATCTATAGAAGACTGTCTGAGAGCCCAAGTCCCAAAGCATCCAACAATGGAATTATTTTAAAGGATTTTGATGACCAAGAATTTGCAGCTCTGTGATATCTGAAGAATAGCCTCCGTGGTGCCTGCTGGGATGGTTTTGGTATCAGGGTGGCAGCATGCACAAGCATGGTTCTCCATCTAGGTGGAGTCCCAGGTACTCTGGTCACCCAGTCTTCCACGGTACCCTTTGCTTGCCTTGAGGTCTAGGCAGTGTTTAATGCAAAATGTTTCATTTAAGCAAGCCATCTGCATATCATAATGAATTAGAACCCCAACACTGAGCCAGACCCTTGGCTGTTGGAGAACCAGCTTTGCTTCTTCACTCAGTGTATCACATTGAGCACAATTCATCTGTAATAGGAGGACAAAATATTACCCACCTTGGATGCTGTTACAAGTTTTAAATGCATGAGTATACTTGACCATACAGACTGGTGTCTGACACCAGGCATTAGCTATTATTGTCGTTATTATTACACAAAAAGGCTGTCCCAGTATTGACCTGCAGCTCTGAAGACTTGACCGCAGATGTTTGAGAATACTTGCCATGACATCTAGGGATTCACACACCTGCTGGCTTGTAATGAACTGTGATCACATTGACCAACTGAGTTCACAAAGGGCAGCTATCAAAAACACCACCCCTGAGTCTCTTGCATGCCGTCTGGAAATCTTACTCAGGAGACTGCAAAAGCCTTAAGACCACAGGATTCTTTCTCCCACTCCCATGACAGCCCTCTGAATCTCTCCAGTGGAACTGGGGAGGGTGCCCAGATGTGGTGTAGGCTTTCTCAAGGTGAAAACTGTGGTTGGCTTCTCACTTCCCAACTCACCTTTTCACTTCACTTCCCTTCCAATGACCATCTCCCCTTTCCTCTTCCTGCTGGATTGGTAGCTCGCTCTTGACTCCCCCAACCTTTCTGTGTACCATTAGCACTTCTCTTCCTGTTACCTCATCTGAGGAGCTGAGTAGATTCTTGATGGCCAAGGTTTTGGCACCCTGTTTCAGAGAACCTCTGAGTTCAACTAGCAAACAGAACCATGTTATGTTGAGGGAAAAAATTGGAATAGATCCCGTGATTAGACTCCCAGTCAGTGCCTTCCTGCCCAAGAATATCTGCTTCTCTTCTTTCTGATATTTTTCACTTTACTTTTTAATGTTATTTGAAGTTCTATCAATTGGATTATATACACAACAAGAAAAGCTGCCAGGCATTTTTACCTTCGTATAACTTAGATCGCCCGTCTTCCTCTTTAAATCAGCTGCAGTGAAAATGTGTTTGAGGAGATCGAGACATTTGGGTTGGCATCATTGCACACTTTGGAGAACCATTCTCTCCTGTTCCTTTTTGCAAACAGCAGTGCTGGAGTCCAGAGCTGAAGGGCACAGGCAGACCTGGGGATGAGAGGGCATAAAAGGATTCTAGAAATGTCCAGGAAACATCAGTCTGCATTAAAATGTTGCCTTTTTTTCTGCACCCCACACGCTATCCTGGGTACCTGGTGACCATCTTTTCCCCAGATCTTAAGTGTGAGTTATTGTTGGTAGAGTTTCACCTCTTACGGGCCACAAGGATTTGTGACCTGAGTTGGAGCCTTAACGATTGTGGCTCCTTCCTATCTCCCCCGTTCATACCGAATTCCTTCTGCCTCACAACCTGTTCTGTTCTGCCACCTCCCTCACCCTTAACTATGCTAGCTAATAATGCCTCATTTCGCTAAGTTTCGTCCCGTCTTCCTTCCTCTCACATAGCCCTCAATGCATTTTACAGCAGCCTGCTTGGATGTGTGCTCTTGGATTAAGGTCTGTCTCCCTCTTTAGCTTATCTGCCCAGTAAAGGCGAGGCAGGAATCCTGCCTGCTTTCTTACCCCCGAACCCTCCACAGTGTCTGGTATCTGCAGGTACTAAACAACATTTGTTGAAAGGATAAACTAATGAACACATCATACAAAGAACCCTTGGAACGCTTCCCATTCATAAATCAGAGAAGGCTAGAATCCGTTAGGACTGTGCAACTTAGCCCTTAGAATAAATGAGGACTCCACGAGCATCTCTTGCGGATGATTTGTAAAGAAGAGAGTTGAGGGAAGACGAGCATGATGTACATGCTGTTTACAAGTTGACTTATTTTTTTATCATATTTTTATTTTTCTACTATAAAAAAGTCAACTCTATTGAATAGGTGTAGTTGTCTTGGCATGGGAAACTTGTAACAGCATTAGAATGTGAGATGTTATAAAGGCTCAAAAAGGAAGACCTTAATGTACTTTGTAAAAGCCTAAGATTTTACTTTCAGCAATACCCTTGTGCTAGAAGATGCAATTTGCTATGCCCATTCTCTTTTTATTTTTCTTCAAATCCGTTTCGTTAGAGATCGGAAAGGGAGCGCTCTTATCTTTTTCGCTGGAATTCTCTCTCCTTCATTAAAGCTTCTGCCTAATACATATTTTTGTGTGCTTGTCAACAGTGACAAGTAAAAATGGCGATAAATAATCCAGCAAGCCGACCAAATGACTTCTAGGGTGAAGATAAATAGAAAAACAGAACAATAGCAATCCCTATGGCATGAATGTGCTAAACATACTAATTTGCACTAAGCAAAAAAACGGTTGTGAAACAAGTTTAGAACAAACGGGAAAGAGTGGAAGAAGATAGGGGCTTATACTCTTTTTCTGACTTTATGAGGGAAAACAAGAGTACTTCAAAGTTATTTGTTATTTGTGCACCTCCATTCTCTTCCCTCAACTAGTAGGGGATCTAAACCGTTTATAGCTGCTGCCGTTGGTACATTAAAGGGCTAGCAAGGAGAGAAGGAAAGAAAGGTAGGCGAAAACAGAAGGCTGTTAAGAGGAAAACAAAAGTGTATTTAGTTCCTAGGGTTACCATAACAAAGTACCCCAAACTCGATGGCTTGAACAACAGAAATTTATTGTTTCACAGTTCTGGAAACTAGAAGTTCAAAATCAAGGTGTCTTCAGGGCCATGCCCTCGCCAGAGGTGCTAGACAAGGACCTTCCAGGCCCCTCTCCTTGCCTTTCGGCGGCCTTCTTTTTCCTGTATCTTCACATAGTCTTCCCTTGTGCATGTCTGTCTTTGTATCCAGATCTCTTCCTTTTAGAAGGACACCAGTCATGTCGGACGAGACCCAGGTGGGCCCTAGTGCCCTTGGCTTACTTTGATCATCTGCAAAGACCCTGTTTCCAAATAAGGACACTCTTACTGGGGGTTAGGACTTCAACATTTTTTGTGGTAGCAATTCAGCGCATAACAAGGCGCGTTTAAGAAAAAAGACAAGAGAGAAGCAAGACCTAAGTCCACGTGACATTGTTTACCCTCCTGTGGCCAAAGGTGCTCCTGTGCTTTTCACACATCTTGGGTGGAAGCGGTCCTTGTCTGGCAGGTTCCAGGAAATGTGGATTGTTTTCTATGATGCTGTTTGTTGCACCGTCTCCACTTTTAGTTTCTGCTTGGCAACACACCCTGTTGGAGGAGGACGAAGCAGGAGAGGAGGAGAAGCAGGGAAGGAGTCAGGACAGCCCGGTATCTGCAGCTCATTCTGCCAACCTAGACAGGAGGGATTGAATGCCCGAGCCAGCGGTAGGAGATGAGTCAGGTGGACTGGCAGGTGGCAAAGAAGAAGAAGCTCCTTGTCATACACAGTGCAAGGAGAGGAGCATCTCAAAGGCAAGAAGACAACATCAGATCATAGAGGAATAGAAGGAATAGAAATTATAGTGAATTGAGGAGCTAGATACATGGAGAGTGATATTCTAATATGATTCATTGTTTTTAAAAAAGAAATGAACTGCCAGGCTCGGTGGCTCAGCCTGTAATCCTGCGCCTTTGGGAGGCTGAGGTGAGTGGATTGCCTGAGCCTGCGGGTCCGAGACCCGCCTGGGCAGTGAGACCTCATCTCTACAATAAATGAAAAATCAGCTGGGCGTGGTAGCACGTGCCTGTAATTCCGGCTACTCGGAAGGCTGAGGCGGAAGGATCAGCCCAGCAGGTCGAGGCTGTGGTGGCCGGGAGCGGCCACTGCACTCCAGTCTGGGCGACAGAGTGAGACTCCGACTCAAAAAAAAAAAAAAAAAGATCCCTCATATATATTCGGAATATATTCAGAGTACACTGTATACTTTCCTGTCATTATGAGGAAAACATTCTTTATTTTTATGACCAGGAATAAGGTGAAAGAAAGTCCTTCTTCATCAGCACTAGTTTCCTGTACTGAGTCAGAGACTGGTGACCTCTAGGCTGGAATTTTAGCATGCCTCCTAGTGAGACTGGCTGTGTAATTATCCTACAGATGAGAAAGCCGAGGGGCCTTCAGTTCTTGGTAACATATTTCGAAAGGAGCACTTACAAAACTAGAGTGTTCTCCGAAGAGTGTAGATGCATGGGCTGCCCCAGGTCTGGAAACCGGATTGATGGAATTGAGGAGTCCAACCTGTCAAAGAAACATGTGGGTGACAGAGGTACAGGCAATCCCTTCAGTTTTCTAGAAGGCTGCCAGCTCAGAGGGGTGGGGGAGTGATCTGTGTTGTAGCTTATTAACTAGTCCCAGCACATGGCAGGTAGATTGCAACTCAGTGTGAGGAAGACCTGTAAAATGGTTAGGGTGAGGGCTGTCCTGCAGTGGAGAGGGTGGCTTAGTGAGGCAAGGAGTCCCCTGGCATGGAAGAGATCGGGCAAGATGAGACAGCCTTCGGTTGTAGCCCAAGTGCACGCGCTGGGCTATTACCCATGATTTGCTGAATAGATTCCAGTATTTGGAATTATCAAATGGCCTCTGCTCTGTGGTCCTTTTCATGTCTGAATATTGCTGTTCTGGCTTAGTCCTTATGACTATAAACCCCTGCCCAGGATAACGCAGCTTCAATGATGTAAACCTTAGAGATAAGTGAACGTTTTGAAACCGGTTATTTGTTCACACCCCCCGGCCCCTTCCTGGAAACAGACCTCCCATTTCCATGTCTTGTATAAAGGCTCGTTTCCTGGCCTTAGCAGTTCATATTTGGACTATGAATGAATGAATGAATACCAGACATGGCACATCGAAGACACACGATGTGTGTGCTCACAGTGACTCTGTAGGCTTTAGTGTTATTTCTCTATTTTAATGCATGCTTGCCCCCCAGAACCTGCAAATATAGTAATTCATATTATTTACATTTAACCAAAGAAGTACACTTAAGATACAATATTTTTATTTATGAACTATGCTTGACAAAAAAGGGAACTATACCAGAAGTTTCTGCATTGATGGTAATTCCTAAGGAAAATAATGTGTTAGGAAGAAGTGAGAGAAAATTATAGACCCTCTTAGTGGCATGATAAAAAAAAAAGTGTTTGTTCATAGGGAACATTGTGAACAGCCATGGGGACTCTGATTTTTTTTTTACTTTTGAAAAAAAGGCAATAATTTTAGCAATTTCAAGGGTAGCTTTCCAAAAGCCCTACTGATGTACCAGTCATTTGGCTGCTGTTTCATTCATGTGAATGACCACCTAAGAGATAAGGTCCATGGACTCCATCTTCCTCCCATTCCGCCTCCACGGCTCTTAAAGACTAGAGCTTCCCTCCTCCAATATCTTCTATAGAAGATCTAGTGTAAGGGCCTCCAAGCTGACTGCTCTTTTTCCTGTGCTGTTTCATTGAGTCCTAATTCTACACCCACAGCCAGAGCATCTTCAACGACTTTTCTCCTGCCATTATTCATTGTGTTTCAGTTCTTTTCACTTTTTCAGTTTTTGTTGCATTGGCCAATGTTATTTCCCACAGGAAATACCTCTTTACCCATGATTTGCTGAATAGATTCCAGTATTTGGCTGCCTGTAAATTTATTTCACATCCAGACTTTTCACTTGTAGTTCTTCATTCTTGGTGTCATTTTTGTGGTGCACGTGTGCGTACACACACACACACACACACACACACACACACACACACACAGAGAACACTTGGGAAGGCAAACTAATAAAATCACATTGCACCTTCTTTCTGCCCCTGCCCTGGAATTTGAAGATATAGCACGGCATATAATCATCATGGGGGTTTTGAGTCCCAAAGATAAGAGGAATACTCACTTTGCTTGAAATTGTGTGGATTAAAATTTCAATACTCATGTCTCTATGTTCTGTAATTAAATTTGTACTTCTTACATATTTCCTTTCATATCTCTGAGTTCCATTCATAAAAACTTGACAAAGAAGTTATGCTTTACATGGTTATGTCTAGCATATCAGTACTTGTATATTACTGCTTGCTTTGATTGAGAAATGAGCTGCTTTGGGATGCTTTGCTCTCTTGCAATATAGTTGAAATCTTGCCACAAAAACCATGACAACGAAATCACCATGTGTATCAAAACATAGCTCCAATCCAAGCAAAGGCCCCCTTATCATAGCCATGAGCATTACACAAAATTACTTTCACAAAGAGTTGGAACAGTCTCTTAGTACTTTGTCTCATACTTCCTTTAACCAACTATTAAAGAGGATTTCAGCATGTTTTGTGGGAATGTAAGTCAACCCATAACAAGGAGCACTGAGGAAAAAAGACATGAGAGAAGCAATAACTAACTACATGTGACACGGTTTTACTATCTTGTGGCCAAAGGTGCTATCTTGCCTATTTTAACCAAAGAACATTAACCAACTATTTTAACCAAATATTAGAAGAGAATGGGGTATACCAATACTCTCATTCCTATACCATCACTATAGAAAGTTTACATTTCTCATTTTTAGCTGAAACACCCTTCCTTATTATCCCTACTCCCATTGTTCCCTGTGGTTTTATATACGGTTTTAGGACATAGTTCAAATATCTAGACATACTGGATTTCAGATCAAATTCCCTTAGTTTTATTAAGTCTACCAGTATCAAACTTCATTTGACACTCTACCCAATAATCTAAGACAGAAAAGAAGACAGATGTATTACAGCACTCCTAGTGGGAATTTCTGTGTTTCTATGAAAGCCAGCTTGAATAGAATTAAGCAAGAGACAATGATAGGAAAGTTGCCGTACATGCTGCTCTACTAGTTTTTTCCCCCATAAGAAATTATTTCTCTGGAACATTGAATTATAACCTACAAATGTTTTCACCAGTTGTGTAATTGCATTGCTAGGATGATAGGAGGTAGCACAGTCTCCCTCTCCTCATCCAGGGCCACCTTGATCTACCAGGTGACATTTCCTCCTCTGCATCCTGTCACATTGTCACAGTGTGCTGCAGTTGTTTGGTTAGTTCCCACCCTCCCTTCCTCCTCGGTGAGAGCCTTGGCTCTGACTGAACACTAAGTCTCCAGTTGGTGTTTAGGGTGTAATAGACTGAGTTATTGAAGTGTTTGAGATTCCAGAGTACAAAGCGAAGATCCCCCTGGGCTCTGATTGCTGCTCCCCTGCCCATGCTGGAAGAAAGCCTCATAACGACTCTCCTGTGTTTTTGCGTGTTCCCATAGTGTTGCCTGGTTTCCTTCTCCCCGCCTCATCTCGCGCAAATCCAGGTCTACTCTTCCAAACTGGAGACTGGTCTGCCATCACTCACCACCCCTGAGGTCTTGGCTCGGTCCCAGACCTGTGTGCATCCCTTTCCCCGGGGTCAGCTCTGCGTTATATCCTTGGGTCCCTGTCCATCTCAGCCTGGTTTCCTCAGTCGAGAGGAGTCTGGGACTGCCTCTGGTATTCCTGGTGGGGGGGTGTCTGGAAGGGGAGGGAGCCAGCACTGTGGTGGGAGCCTTGGTGACAGTTACCACATGCTTATCATCACTTGTGTGTGTTCATTTTCAGTCTTTTTGTATTGCTTTCCTGCAATTTCCCTTCTTGGGCTCTTTCCACAAATCAACACTTTCTGCATTTATCTTTTGGAACAAACAGACATGCTGTTTTTTGGAGGTTCTGGTAAGTCATTTACGGTCTGCTCTTCCTCTCAGGAGTCTAAAGTTCAGATCAGGGCCAAATAGCTTAGGGCAGGGGATAAGAGGTTAGGTTTTCCTTCTCCTGAGCACTACAAGATTTCGGTTTGGGTCAGTCAGTGTGATGATGGGCCCATCCAGAATCACGCAGCCAAACCGGAAGTGGTCCGCTGAACTTGGTTGAGTGCAGCAAAGAAACAAGAGAGTGTGGGCTTCTCTGCTATTTAGAATAGGTTTGAGGCCCTCTGAACAATACCTCAGAAAAACCATCTGTGTGCGTGAGCAGATGTGAGAGGGTATGTGTGTGTGCGTGTGTATTTGAGCGGGCACATGTATAATTCTGGGAAGGCATCAGTGTGAGTCTGTGAGCGTAACAGTGCGTATTGTGTGTACATAGGTAGATACAGGCGAACTGTGTCTCTAAACAAGCACTGCGACTCTCTTTTAACGTAGTCCTTTGGATTCAGACCAAGCTGGATAAAATGCTGACCTGGAAACACTGCTCAGTTTACTTTTCTCAAAATGGAAAGAAACAGGGTGGCTGTAAGGGATTAAATGAGATAATGTGCACAAAGCAATCACTGTAACCACCTAGTCTCACACACACACACACATACACATGCACGCACGCACACTTACTACATGAGAGCACTTGCTCTCCTCTCTCCTCTCTTCCTCTCCTCTCTTCCCTCCCGCTCTCCTCCCTTCCCATTCCTCCTTCTTCTTCCTTTTGCCCCTATCCAGGATCTTTTCCTTGCCTGCAGCTTTCAGCTGTAAGCCAGGAGGCTCCCTACCTCCATTCTGACACATTCGCACAGTCTTTTAAGGACCCTGAGAAGGCTTCTTTCTAAATGCTTTCCTCTTGAATTTATAGTTAAATGGTAAGTCTCAGCCTTGTACCTACAAGCTGCTCAGTACCTTTTGAGGGATCCCATAGATTTCTTCTTTGCCGCCTCAGCCGGCATCTTGTATTCAAGGCTACAGCTGTCTCTTTACTTTCTTACAGCATGTGTTGATTTTGAGAATGGACAGTCTAGAAAAGAGCTGTTTATGTTTGTGTTCCAGCCGTGTCTGGGATCACCTCTGCCGTCTACAGCATGGCCCGAAGCATCTTGGCCACTGCCCTGCTCTACGCTGTCTGCTTCAGTGCGGTGAAGGTAGGTGTGAGGACTGTAGGCCTCTATTCTTCTCAAATTTATTCAATCAACTTATTTTTAAAAAATAAATGAATATTTCCTCCAATTGCAAAAAATTTCTGAAACCACGCCTCAAGATGTCTGGTTTGTCCTAGTGCACAAGCTCCCTCCCCTCTCCTGGCCCAGCATCCCCTCTGCAGACATCTTTGCCAAGGTCAGTTACTGTCGCTGGAAGGGGCAGCTGTTGGACATGGACGTGGCCAACAGAACCCATGGGTTACCTTCATTTCCTGAAATACCATTCAAAAGACACTACGGGGATACAATTGCATAAAGCTATATGGACAAGAGAACAGGACAGGATATGACAGCCACAAAATGTTAGAATCTAGAAAACAGATGGACTGCGCACTTATCCAGATGGAGAAAATGGAAAACTAGCCTGGCAGCAAGGATAGCCTAAGATGACGAAAAAGCAAGATAAATATTAGCTTCAGGAAGACAAAAAGTTGTATCAGTAAAGAAAGACAATTGTTGTATACACATGGCTCAGCTGTGAACTGAGTTTATATATTTATAATGATCTGAATAATCGTCACATAATCTCTATCATAGAAGGATGAGGAAGGTGAGTGTGTGTGTGGGGGGGGGCTCGAAATCCCTTCTTCCATATTAGAAAGTCAGCAAATAATATCTAAAATATATTTTTAAATCAAGAAACAACAAATCAGGCGGGCTCGGTGGCTCAGCCTGTAATCCCGCGCCTTTGGGAGGCTGAGGTGAGTGGATTGCCTGAGCCCGCGGGTTTGAGACCTGCCTGGGCAACTTGGCGAGCCCTCATCTCTACAATAAATCAAAAATGAGCCGGGCGCAGTAGCGCGCGCCTGTAGTTCCAGCTACTCGGAAGGCTGAGGCGGAAGAATCACCGGAGCCCAGCAGGCGAGGCTGCGGTGGCTGGGAGCGGCCACTGCACTCCAGTCTGGGCGACAGAGTGAGACTCCGACTCAAAAAAAAAAAAAAAAAAAAAAAGGAACGACAAATCAAACATGTAATTTGTAAATATGGAGATAGATAGGAGAAGAAGAAATAGCTGAAAGCTACTGGCTTCAGAAAGCAGAAATTGGGGTAGGGATTGGTATGGGTAGAGACCACCACTGTTTCTTTTCAGTGTTGTAGAACTATAGGGTAGCCATAAGGTCTGAGAACCACAGCACATGAAATGTTGTCAGGAACATCTTTTTTTTTTTTTTTTTTTTGAGTTTTCAAGCAGTTTACTTAGAAAGTAAATCGGAGAGAGAGAGAGAGAGAGAGAGAGGAGATTCACCTCCCCCAGGTAGGGGAGGGGGCCAAAGCTAAGAATACATGGCGGCTGTTGTTCCAAGAGTCACATGGAGACGGCAGTTTAACAAAGCAATGGCCAGGAACATCTTTAATCAGTAAAAAATAAATGACTATTATACCTGTTTCTGGACCTTATGGATATCCTACATTTAATATTTTACAACACAGTTACTCCTTTAATAAAATTAAATGTAATAAGAGTATATAAAAATAATAGATGTCTCAAAGTGTTTTAAATATAAATCACATACAAATTGCTTAACTCACTTAAAAAAAAAAACTTACTAAACTTATCAATGTCAGTGGATGAAAGATTGTTACTTATTTCCTTTTGTGGAAGAGAACAAATTCTAGAGTTTTATCTCTCAATGCTTCTCAGTAATCAATGGAGTAGTTCCCTTTCTCACTCCTTCCATTCCTTCCACGTAAATCTTTTCTTTCAGGAGGAAAATGGTGGGGGACTAGGGAGGAAGGTTCCTTTTTCTAATGCACAAAGGTAATTGATGTGCACAATTATATCATCAGTGCTTCTGGCGTTATTTCTTTTGCCCTGTATTCCTCTATTGAATCACAGGACCCCAGGTATTTCGTTCAGAAAAAGTACTTAAGTAGGTAATTTCTGATCTTTGTACCGCAAAAAACATCTCTCCGTTGTCTTTTGGTAAAACAACTGCCTAGAACATATTGGGGTCACGAGCATTTTCCTGCAGGAAACTTAATATATTGCTCTGTTGTGTTTCAGTATTTATTTATTTGTTTATTATTCATTCATTAATTTTTTAAAGTCAGGTTCAAAATTTAGCTTTTAAAAATTCCCAGTTTGGTAAATTTTGATGAATATATAATGGACGCTACAATCAAAATTTCCACTAACTCAAAGAATTCCATCAGATTCCTTTGTAGTCAGTCTCTTTCGGCACCTCCAACATCTGGCCACAGTTGATCTAATTTCTGCCCTTAAAACTTTTTCAGAATAAAATGTATTATGGCATAGTGTATATTCAATATTCAAGTTCGTGAATTTCAAGTATACAGTTAGATGTATTTTGACAGATGTATACAGTCAAGTAATCACCATTGCAATCATGATACAGAACAATTGCACTATTCAAGAATTTGTTTTCATGTTTCTTTGCAATCAGTACTTTCTCCACATAATGTTTTATTTATCTTGAGTGAATACCTAAGACTGAGATTGCTAGATCAAATATCAAATGGTAAGGTAACTTTATAAGAAACTGCCAAACTATTGTCTAATATCTGTACCATTTTTCATTTTTTCCAACTGCCACATATTCTTTGAGATTTCTAAGTATTCCAAATTTTTGTCAGCACTTAATACTGTCATTTTTTAAAAATAGCCATTCTTATGTGGACCAGCATATAATTCTGGTTTTCATTTGCATTTCTGTAATAATGAATAATGTTAAGCATTTTTTCATTTATTTACTTGACATTTGTATATCATCAGTGGTGAAAAATTTGTTCATTTAAAAATTATATATCTTATCATGGAGACAAAAGACATAAACTTTACATAGTTTAGATACAAGTCCTTAATCAAATAGATGTTACACTTTTTTTTTTTTTCAGGTTGTGGCTTGTCTTTTCATTTCATTAACAGTATTTTTTGTAGAACAGAAGTTTTTAATTACCATGAAGTTCAATTTATCTTATTTATTTTATGGTTTGTACTGTTTATATCCCATTTAAAGAATATTTACCTAAGCCAAAGTCACAAATACTTTTGTTCTATAAGCTTTATAATTGTAGTTCTTATATATAGGTTTGTAATCACTTTTGAGTTAAGTTTTGTATATGATATGAGTTAAAGATTAATTTACCAGGACCATTTCTTGAAAAGACCAGCTTTCCCATTGAATTATCATGGAGCCTTTATAAAAAGTCAGCTGTTTCATTGTTCTATACACCTGTCTCAATGCTAATACTATATTGTTGTGATTACTGCAGTTACTGTGAGTCTTGAAGTCAGATAGTATGTCTTTCAACTGTATTCTTCTTTTTCAAAATTGCTTTCATTATTACAGGTGATAGCTATTTCAAAATAAGTTTTGGACTCATTTTATTTTATTTCTGCAATCAATGTTGCAGAAATTTTGATTGCAATCATGAATTTATAGATCAATTTAGGAGGGAAACCAACATCTTAACAATATTGAGTTTTCTAACCCAGGAACATCGATAGCATTTCCATTTACTTAGGCCCTTATTAATTTAAGCTACAATTGTTGCATACTTAAAATTTTTATGCTGTTGTAAATGGTATTGTGTTTTATAATTTAAAATTCAAACTGTTTATTCGTAGTATATACTATTGATTTTTTAAGTACTTTGACTTGTATCTTACAACCGCTCAACAAAAGTATTAGTTATCGTAGTTCTTATTAATTTCTTTGAGATTTTCTACGATAGATGGTCATGTCTGTCAATAGATCCAGTTTTATTTTCCTTTCTAGTCTGTATGGCTTTGATTTCTTTTTCTTAATTTATGTCACTGGCTAGCATGTCCAGAGCAATGGTGACTAAAAGTGGTGAAATCAGACATCTTTGCTTTGTTCTCAATCTTAGGGGACATGTCTTTCACCATTGAGTACGTTAGGTGTGGGATTTTTTCTAGTTGCTCTTTATTGGACTGGGAAATTTCCCTTAAATTCCTATTTTGCTAAGTATTTTATCATAAGTGATGTTAAGTTTTGCCAAGTTTTTTTCTGCATTTCTTGAGAAGACCATATCGATTTTTTTTTAAATGTATTGATTGGGGAATTACATTGGTTGACTGTTGAATGCTGAACCAATGTTGCATTTAAAGGATCGGTTCCAGTTTGTCATGATATATTTTCCTTTTTCTGTATTACTCAATTTTATTACTAATATTTTGTTGAGAAACATTATGTCTATGATCATACTGTTTCTGGTTCTCCAATTTTTCTTCTATTTTTTTGTAATGTGTTGTCTTGTTTTAGTATTAGGGTTATGGCCTCATAAAATGAGTTAGAAAGTGTTTCCTTCTATATTCCAAAAGAGTCTTATAAACAACTTATGTTCCTATTGAACTTTTTATATAGTAATTGTTGGTTTTATTGATATCTTAAGATGTAATATGCATTATTTTATACTCTCTTAAACAGTTATCTTGAAAACATTTAAAAATCTTTAAAATTATGTTTTACTTAAAAAAATAATTTCTGCTAATGTACATTTATGTACATTCATCTTTCTATTTGCTATCATATTTCCTCTGCCTGAAGAACTGTTAGTAGTGAATTATTTTAGCTTTTGTCTGAAACCTTCCTTATTTTGCCTTCACTTTTGGAAGATATCGTCACTGGTACATAATTCTGATTGACAGTTTTGTTTTTTTCCCCCCAGTACTTTAAACATGTCCTATTTTCTTTTAGCTTATTTAATTTCTAATCAAAATTTGCTGTTTATCCAATATTTGCTCTTCTGTTAGTATTGTTCCTTTTTTCTATATCTGCCTTCAAGATTTTCTGTGTCTTTGGTTTTCAACAATTTGACAATGATGTGACTAAGTATATGGTGTTTTAAATTTTTACTTAAGGTTCTCTGAGCAGCTTTGATCTGTGCTTTGTTTTGCAAAGTCTTCAGCCATTTTTAATTCAAACATGTCTTCTTTTCTTCTTGGGCCTTCAGTTATA